AATGGAGGGCAGCATGAGTGACAAACACCTGCACACAGAAAACTGAGACTAAACCTGCCTCTTTGATTCCCAAAGTTCATGTCAGAAATCATTTGCTTAAGGACAGGTATTTAGTAATTGATCTTGTCTTGGCCTAGCAGGTACTTCCCAATTAACAGTTGAATTCTAAAATTCATTTGTCACCCTCTCTGTCTCATTTTATTCCCATTTCCCCTCCCCTTGTATCTACTCACCAAAAGTATTTGAGGCAGCTAAGTTTATTTGTGAGTCACTTGTATGGAGTTTAGAAAATGTTTCTTATAGTAGTGGTGGTGACCCAGCCGGTGTGGCTCAGTGGTTGAGCATCAACCATGGACCAAGAGGTTTCGAGTTCAGTTCCCGGTGGGCATGTGCCCAGGTTGTGGGCTCGATCCCCAGTGTGAGGAGTGGGGTGCAGGAGGTAGCCAATTGATATGTCTCTCTCATCAATGTTTCTGTCTCTCTCCCTCTCTCTCTAAAAATCAATAAAAACATATTTTAATGGATTTATATATTTTATATATATATATATGTATATATGTATATATATATATAAATAAATAGTGGTGTGTGTGTGTGTGTTGAGTAAGTTTGGTTCAGTTGAACAACCAGAATGCGCTAAAACCTGAATTTGACAGTGAGATTCACACAGCAATGAATGGATGCATGAGGTACTGTAGGAGCATACGAGAGAGCTAGTGTTTTATAGGATTTTGCTGCGTGGCCCTGGGAACCCAGTTGTCATGCCCAACATATGACAGCCCCGGTAGAGCTGCCTTCACCCCAACCCTACTTTCTCCACCTCTGAAAGACTGCCCTTGGCCAAGCCTAAGGGATAGTCAGAAGGTTGGACCTGCTACCTATCTTCATGTGTCCTTTTAGTACCTCCAGGTGGGTTTCTCTGCTTCCTCTGATGGCCACTGACAGCCCCCCCGGGATTGTGCCTTGACATGCACTCGAGGAATGTGTGTGTGCCTTCTCTAGTTGAGTCTTTTCCTTCTGCCATGGATGTACCAGGAGACTAAGTCCTTTCCTGCTCTGCCTGGAGGCTTAGGGCATCATAAACCAGCCACAGTGCCTTTTACTGACTACTCTCTTTGCCAGTAGCTCCAATTAAGTTATTTCAATTAAAAGCCTCCCTCTATTAGAAGGTGTGGTGGTGGTGAGAGTCCTTGCCAACTGCCCACTACACAGGAGTTGTGCTGGGTACAATTAGAAGAGAAAATTATTTCCCCTTGATTACGAAGTTCTTTGGCACATGCAGACCGTGTTGGGGCAGAGGTGGAATTGTGGTATGCCTCAGAGAACCCTTATCACTTCACAAGGCTCCAGATGGATTGTGCTCTGGACCTTCTTAGCCTAGAAGCTCATTTGTCTTCTGAAAGTGTGTAAATTGGACGCTATGACTTTTGAGAATTACAGCAGAAGTCTAGCCAGTGGTGTAAGATGGATAACACAATACAAGGGAGTTTGGCCAGTTCTTAAAGTGGAAACTGGTCTCTAAAAAGACCCGAGTGAGCAGTGGACTCTCCCAGTGGGACATGCTATGGAAAGGGATCAAAAAAATAATAGGAGATGGGCCAAAAAACTTGGTGAATTAAACATCTGGGGAAACACAATGGGACCAACTGCAGAACACAGATTAGGAGAGAAAATAGCCCAGCTGATCTCAGGGGTTCATGATAATTTGGCCACCATATCAGACTGTTATAAGGGTTTTAAGAGTTGCCTGAAAAAAAATTTTTTTTCAAGAATTACTATGAGATGAAAAGTAGCTATTTAAAGTAACGTAGGTAGGCTTGTTCAAACAATGTCCCAAAGAAAATTTGGTTCCAGGAATCACAAGTGAAATCAGACTTAAGACCATTAGTATGTGTGCCATGGTGTGATTTTTAAAACATTTCAGGTTGGTGAGAATAATATTTCCAAATCAATTGGCTTTGTCTTTATTGTTATTATATTATACTTCCTGCTTCATCCTCTGCATTTCCAGTACAATTAAGACCCCACGAGAAGGAAAATGGTTTACCTGCCTCTAATTAATTAAAGAATGTTTATATTTTATTGTCGATATAACCCAGATAAGACATAATACCAAAAAGAGTAAGAAATGTTTGGCAGGTGCACACAGGCTTCCACCCCCAATATGTGACCCTGATATGTGACCCTGATATTTGGTAATCCCCTAATATCCATGTGCTGACCCTGGCATCATTTCGTCACTTGCCATAATAGAAGTGTCTGAGAAAGATCCAGAAATCTTTTTTTTAAACCACATACTTGATGTTATAAACTTTCCCATTTAAACAAAATCCCATATTTAAAAAATTATATAAGTGTCTTCTGTGGCTTCAAGAATGTTAACTTCTCAAGTGACATTCAAGGTCCAGGTTGCATAAACTTGCTTTCTAAGTCTGTGCAGTGCCTTGCACGATTCTCTAAAATGATGAGTTTGCCAAAGTGAAGGTGAAATGCTTGACGTGTGCCCCCTGGGCATGCGGGCTTCTGGAAGAAGCCGTGTCCTTTTTCCTGTGGGTCTCTGAACAATAGATGGTAGCCAGTACTTTCCTCTTTCTAACTGATGATGGCAACAAGGAGGAGGAGGATGCTCTTTTAAAGAACTGTCCCTCCCACATCCACAGCACGGAACTGTGAAGAGGGAGCACTCGAGAGAATACAGTATTAGCTCCTCCTTGGAGCGAGGCCTGGTTTGCAGGGGCCATGTCTCTTTTCCCCCTTCACATCGTGGCTCAGGATGCACCCAGCCTTTGCTCATTAACAATGGAATCAGCTGTCAGGGGTGCTGACAACTTCCTTCTCCACATTCCTGTCGCCTGTGGCATGGTGCATCACATGAGTTTGTGCTTGAAATCCTGTGCAGAGTTCCTTGGGCCTCTGTGCTCTTTGACATCTTGTTCTGTGGAGTGTCTGGGCCAGGCTGGCTCTCCCTCTCCCTCAAGAGCCCTGCAGACATCAGCTTGGCTCTATGCTCATGACACCTGCCATCAGCTCTGCCGGGAGGCGAAGATGGGTCAGACATTGCTCTGTGAGCCTTCTCTGACTCTTTTGAACTTTTCATCAGGCCACAAGGTTGGCCCTGGAGGCTCAGAAATACACTGTGGCCACTCAGACCAGAACATCAGCCCAGAGAGAGCATACTTCCTAAATCAGCAAGACATTTACGGTGGTAAATGGCTTCCTTTTGTTTCCATAACAGAAACGTCTGAGAAACATGCTCTTAACAGTTAAGGGAAAAGGAAGTATCTATGCAGCCAGCTCCCAATGATCTAAGGGCCACTTCTCCAGCTTTTGAGTTCCCTTGCTTTATAGACCTGTCTGTCCTTTTGCTACTGTGTTCAGGGTGAACGTTACAAGGAAAGAATGTACACATGTATTTATGTTGCTCTTGTTTAAAAGAAAACAGTCTGATTGGAAGTCCAGAGGAATTGGGGCTGAAACCTAAAATTAGATTTGGGGATTACCTGTGAATTATATTTCTTGCCATCATCACTAGAAACACTCTGCAATAGCTTGTTTACTTCCCTATTCTTGCTCAGGAAGATTTATCTTCAACAGAATGAAAGAGAGGATTTTGCTGTTAGTTTCTCCGCACAGGACTTTTCCTGCAGACTGAAGAAACTCTGACCTTAGCAATCAGTGCATTCCCATGGAAAGAGCCGGGAAAAGGGTGAGGCTGACTGGTTCATAGCTACTGTGTAGTGTCAGAAAACAGACTTCTCTGAGGCTCATTTTTCTCTCTGTCAGGTGCAGATGAGGGTAATTGTCAGAGCTGTTGACAGGATCACAGTAGAAAATGTGTATGAATGACTAGCCCGAGACCCAGTCACTGCAGGCACTTAGTTTGGGTTAGGTCCCTTGGAGAGGACGTTGGTGTGTTGCCCACTTCCCTGCTGGAAGATCTGGGCAAGTTGTTGACCTCTCAGTCCCTCTGTGCCCTCACTGTAACATGGGGATAATGATGGTAAAGATAATTAAGCTCTTACCCCCGTGGACATTGGGAGTAAGTGAGGTAATGCATCCCAAATACATAGAACACATAATTCAGCCCATGATGAGTGCCTTGTAAGCCATAGCTAATTCAGTTTCTCTACCCTGTTAATTTTTCTGGAAAGTCTATGTTAGAGACACCTCAATCAGATATATTTGGGTAAAAAGGAGATTTTGCTTGTGAAGAAGATTTACTGTGTTTTTTTTTTTTTGTATTTACTCTTTGCATAAATATTTATGGCAAATATTACTGGGTGCCAGACACTGGGTGGTTGTTCAACACTGGGCTGTCACCACAGGGCCAGGAACAGGAATTGTGGGAATAATATAAAATAAGTCCATCCCCTGGGATGGATGACTCTTGATGAACGGTGGGTTAGGACCAAGGACGTGAAATGAAATAGCATTTTTCCTATTTCACCAATGAGAAAATAAAATGACAGTACTGGCAGATAACCCACCCAAAATCAGGCCTAATACAGGGTTCCCAAAGACCAGATTTTAGGTCTAACCTCTACTCGATTGTAAGATGCATGAAGGCAGAGGGAGGGCTTCACAGTAGTGTCCCACAGCACCTGCGAAGCCCCTGCACAGGGGCCAGAAACTCCTCCTCGAACGGAATTGATCTGAGGGGAAGCCACACCGCAGGCGCCAAACAGAATATACCTTTCTGTGACTCAGTTCGGTCTGAGTAAAACATTAACATAACATAGTCACCAATTAAGTATTTGTTGATTGATTCATTGTGTTTGATTGATAACTCTAGTTACACACACACACACACACACACACACACACGCCCTCATTTTTCTCTTTTAGAAAAGCCAACAAATAAAACAGGTCATACATCTCTGCTCAGTTTTTAGAATCACACATAGTTTAGCCCAAGTAGCAGACTGAAAGAGGAAAAAAAATGTCTTATGTAACAGACATTTAAATTGTCAGGCTTGTGTCTCTCCTTTGTCATTTCATAGCTCCTGAGGTCCTCGCCCAGAAACCTTACAGCAAAGCTGTTGACTGCTGGTCCATCGGGGTGATTGCCTATATCTTGTAAGTATTGCTTGCCACCTTGGCTTCTTTTTTCCCCCCCTTTTTTTTTTATTGTGGCAAATAGACATCAAATTTACCATTTAACCACTTTTAAGAGTACAGTATTAAATATATTCATATTGTTGTGCAACCATCACCACCATCCAGTTCCAGAACCTTTTCATCTTCTCAAATCAAAACTCTGTCCCCATTAAACACTAACTCCCCATTTCCCCCCACCCTGGCCCCTGGCAACCACCATCCTACTTTCTGTCTATGAGCTTTACTGACTCTAGGTTCCTCATGTAAGTGGAATCACACAGTATTTGTCCTTTTGTGTTTGGCTTATTTTACTTAGAATAATGTCCTTAAGGTTTGTCCATGTGGTAGCATGAGTCAGAATTTCTGTTTTTGAGGCTGAATAGCATTCCATTTTGTGTATATGCTACATTCTATTTATCCATTTGTTAATCAATGGACACTTGGGTGGTTTCCACTTTTTGGCTATTAGGAATAACATTGCTATGAACATAGGTGTATAAATGTCTATATTAGTCCTGATTTCAATGCTTTTGGGTTTATACCCAGAAGGGGGATTGCTGGATATGGTAACTCTTTGTTTACCTTTTTGAGGAACCTCCATACTGTTTCCCAAAGCAGTATTTATACCCCAGTTTTCCAACCCCAAGAGCAATGCACAAGGGTTCTCATTTCTCCACATCCTTGTCAGCACTTGTTATTTTCCATTTTCTTATAATAGCTGTCCTCATAGGTATGAAGTGGTATCTCCTGTGGGTTTGGCTTGCATTTCTCTTATGGCGAATGATGGTGAGCACACCTTGGCTTTTCTGGGGATGCACACACTGTGACAATATTAGGACGTCCCCAAAAGAGGTCACAATGAGAAAAAATGTGATGAAAACCAGAATTTAGCCTTTGCACTCCTCATTTCTTCTCAGCTCACTTATCGCCACTATCTGGGAAATGCAGTCATAGGGCATAGGCTTGTGGCAATTATCTCAGGATGATCAATTTTGGATTTTATTGCTATGTTTTATTTTGCTTAAGTCTACTGTAAAGTTATTTTTTTTATCATTGTTAATCCTCACCTGAGGATAGTTTTTCATTGACTTTTTAGAGAGAGTAGAAGGGAGGGAGGGAGGGAGGGAGGGAAGGAGAGAGAGGGGGAGAGAGAGAGAGATATCAGTGTGAGAGAGACACATTGATTGGTTGCCTCCCACATGACCCCAACCAGGGCCGAGGACCGAGCCTGCAACCCTTTCGTCTGTAGCCAAACTGGCCAGGGCTGTAAACTTATGTTTAAGTTACAATTTTTTTCCCAACACGTATTATCAAACATATTTTTAGGGTGGATTTAGGCTAACTAGCTTCTGTAATTGATAGAAAATTAAATTTTTCCTCTTCATTGTTCCCACAAAAGGGAATATTTTCTAGCAGACAGAGCCCACAGCACACAGTGACGACTGTGATCGGTAGGGGACTGTGATTAGAGGAAGGTCTGACAGCATGTGGCATCCTCAGGGAATGCTGGAAACACCCCCACAGCCATCCATGTGTCTCATTACCTGAGAAGAAAATGATCTTTCTATAGCGCACGTTCAACTGCGCAGCTTTTGTAGATGGCTAAGAGAAAAGAATGGGGGTTGGTGGAAGAACAAATATAGGGGGGTAGGTGAGAGCAAGAATTTCATCTTGGGCATGTCAAACTTGAGACCCCTGTGAGATACCCATGGACTTAGTGTATGCACAGGCGGAGGTCAGAGGCCTAGGGAACAGTACTACATCCAAAGTTTATAGTTACGGTGTACAACACAATGTTTGATGGGATTCAAGTATATAGTATTAAACAGAGAAAAACTGTCTTTCTTTATTTCTATTTTAAGTGTAAACTTGATAGTTACCTAGTCATTACTAGCTTTGCCCCATGACTTAGTCTCAGGTTGATTTCATGACTGTGTCAGGATTAAAAATGGCAGCCTGGGCTTCTGTTTCCCTTGGTGCCTTCCAGAGCTCTGAGAGTCTCAAGTAGAGAATGAATGGACTTTGGACATCTCAGCTGTCTCTTCCAAGATGTTCAGATCCTGAGTGACAGGCCATCTCCTGGAGATTATTTGCTACATAATATGGCTATGCTTGAAGAGCCACTGGTCTCGAATATATCAGTGTCAACGACTAGCATTTCTTGAGTATCTTTTCTATTCCAGGCACTGTGCCAGGTGCTAAAGGGAATAAGATGACAAAGACACAATGCCTCTCATCAAAGTACTAACAAGGTATATGGTGGGACAAGAAAGTTCATGAGCAGATTAAGTGAAATGCAAGGAGACTTACGTATAGCTATAGAAGTTCCTGGGTTGAAGCACCATTGAGGACAGGGACATTCAGGAAGGAGGAGGCACCATGCCAGGTATGTCTAAAAGGCTGGAGAACACTGACATAAGCAAAGAGGAGAGAAGAGAGCATTCTGACCAGGGCAGAGATGCAGGCACAGGAACGGGGGCCCGAGGCATGTCCAAGGGCTGATGTAAATGTTCCGTGAAAGGCCAGTGATTGGTATTCCTGGCACAAAACTGGCCCTGATTTGAACAAGTGTTAGAAGGTAGAACTCGTGGGTATCGCTCTCAGACTCTTGCTACTTCCCACTGACCCACTGTGCCTGGTGTCCCCATTCCCTTACTTCATCTGAAGAGTGGCCAGCACTCAGCACCCTGGGGAAGCCAGATACCCACAGGATCTGTGCAGAGCTCCTCATTCTTCATATCACCTGTAATGGAAAAGGGGAAGCCCCTGCAGGTCTTCTGGAGTGTGTTTCCATTTGAGAAACCTGTCACACTGAGATATTAGATTGTAACTAAGGTGGCTGTTACAGGTCATGGCACCAGAGGTTCTCCTCTCCACGTGTCATGCAAACATTCCTCATTTCGCCGTAGCAGGGATTTGATGAATTGGCTCTGCTCTCCATGCTCATTTCTGTTATCCATCATTTGGAAGGAGAAATATTTTTTCCTAGCAAGCGTACTCATTTTTTAAAGCATATTTGATGGGTCTTTATCCCCAGGAATCTCCCTGTGGGGATCAAAACTTGCAAAAGCATCTTTGCCTGCATATCTTAAGCTACTGGGAAGGACTGAGCATGGAGTGTGCTAGATACCCTGATGAGCATGTAGGTGTCCAGTCAGATGGGGTTGGCTCAGCCAAGACAAGAGTTCCGAGGAGTAAATTTCCCCATGCAAGATGATATTTCCATTTCATTGACCAAACTGGATTTTGTGATTGCACATAGGCTGCTTTTCTTCTCACAACTTCAAGGAGATAGTTTAATGATCACTTGCCTAAATTATGCTCTGGAATACAACATGCTATGGAGAAAGGCAGTGAGCCCTGGCCGGTTTTGCTCAGTGGTTAGAGCATCAGCCTGTGATCCAGAGAGACCCAGGTTTGGTTCCCGCTAAGGGCACGTACCTCAGTTGCAGTTTGTCCCTGGCCCTGGTTGGTCATGCAGGTGGCAGCCACTCGATGCGTCCCTTTCATGTCAATGTTTCTCTCTCTCTCTTTCTCTTCCTCTCTCTCCCTTCCACTCTATCTGAACAAAAAATGGAAAAGTGTCCTCGGGTAAGGAGAAAAGCAGTGAATTTTTACTGATATAAAAACTGAGAAAGATCCTAAGGAGATCAGGCATTAGAGTGTTAGGGCAGGCAGGGTGGTTAGGGTGTACTTGCCATGGATGTGAGGGCACTACCCATGCTGAGACCTCTGACCTCTCTGCCTAGAGGAAACTCCAGCCAAAATACTATGGTAATCCCCTTCTTTTTTTGACTGGCCTCCTATACTGTTCAATTGTTAAAACTGGGTCACATAAATACTGATTGGCCAGTATACACAGAATAGTTTTGTTAAGATTGGAACTGAGAATGCCTAATCATGCTATGTCCATTTTCTGAGACAAAGGATTATCTTCACCAAGATAGTCACCATTACTCACCACATGGACAGCTGCGTTCTTCATAGGTACATATGTCCCCAGAGGAGAGCGTGAACCCAGCTTCAGTAGGAGAGAAGGTGGTGTGATTACCGAGCCCCAGTGATATAACCAAGCCTGGGGTGTGATGATGGTTGTCACTACATCGGTATGCGGAGTGTTAACACTAATAGGGACAATGAACTGGCATTGCCAGCAGGCAGCGATCATCATGTTATATTCATAAGCTTTGCCAAGTGGGACATGTTTCCTCATTCGGCTGCCAGAGGCCCGGGGTCTGGACTTCGGCTTTAGAAGTTTAGAAACTAAATTAGATGTTTATTCATCTTGCTCCTGTGCTCCCAGTGAATTGAGTCACACTAGCCAGACTCCAGAGATTTGAAAAAAACAACTGAAGTGTCATTTTACTAAATCATAACAAGATTTGTGTCCTGCAAGGTGATTGGAGATGCATGTTATTACCCTCGTGTGTTCTCTGCCTAATAGGAAATGCTCCATGAGAAAGCAAATTAAAACCAGAAGTTTCCTTTAAGAACAAGGAACCAGAGCAGTGGAGTCGGGTGGACTCCTCAGCGGTTTTCATGAAGCCTGGCGTGGTCTCCAGGTCACCCTTCTCACCAAAGGGTATTGCTGTCGAGCAGCACAGCTCTTCCTTTTGGCTCGTCAGAGTGGCCACATGCTGATCATTCTCACACCCCTCTCCTCCTGTCTTCAAGACCAGCCGCCATCCTGTTGCTTCCTTATTCCAGCTTCATCCTTTCTATGTCAGCAGGCATTGATTGCTTGGTTGCTATGATTCTAGGTTGACTGATTTAATTTCACTGACTGCATTTCAGTGTGGTGCTTTCCAAGGGTTTTCAGAGAGGTGCCTAATCTCCCTTCCACATTCGGTACTGAGTGGACCCTGGCGGTGGCAAACTGCCTTTTCTTAGCTTGAGCCTCAGACACAAGTGCTACTTGACCAGATTTCAGCTTCGTTCGTGGCCTGTGATCCTCTCTTCACTGCTTTGGGAGAAAGACT